TTACTAACAGAATTTCAGGGTTGGGTGAAAAGTTTTAATGGGAGCTGCCGTGTCCTCCTCCTCTCTGTCTCTCTTAGCTAGTGTGCACTTTGGCGCACAAAGCTTATTAACAACAGTCGCCAAGAAAAGAGTTTCGGCTGCTAATGTGATGTTTGTGTTTCATATTACATAAATATCTCAGTTTGGGTCTAAACTTTGCTTGACCTTTCTTTAATAGGGGCTAATTGTTTTAGAGACTGAGCTGTAGTGTAAACGCACTTCATTGCCAAACAAACCAGTCGGTCAGACCAGAGACAGCATAAAGCATGATGGTTAATATGCTCTCTGTCAGAATGGAAGTTTCAACTTTCATTTAAAAAAGGTCCATGTTTGTTACAAATTAAATTCCATTGAATAAAAAGACACTGATGATATCTAAATATCAGAATAAAATAAAAAATGAAAATAAATAAATCAATAGAAATAAAAATAAGACCGGTAATATAGATTTCAGAATATCAGAGACTTGACAGTTTTGAATAAAATAAAGTAAATTAAAAAATAGAACGAAATAAAAAACCAAGACACTGGTAATAAAAACCACAGTGAGGAAAGACTGGGATTTTCCTACTGGCACTCGACAGGTTTACAGACAAAGTATGGAAGTAGATAAAACTAAAACTTGAAACATGATCAGTCTCTTTGATAATTTTGTTCTCTCTTTACCCTCTTCCCACAAACCTTGGGATCTGAATGTGAAATAACAAAAGAGGCATATTTTCCTCATTAGAGGCCTTGTGAAAGTATCTCAGTCAAGGCCAGAGTGTGTATTCTATTCAACTCACTTGCTCGATTTTTCTGAATTAAGAGGTACATTCTTCTCCATACAGTCTGCAAGTTAACTTCTGGCTGCAAATTCACATAATCAGGCCTTAAATTAATATTTCACATAAAATAAAAGTGAAGGTCTACTAGCAGATTTTTTATGGCGTGCTTTTGATGCACATAAATCATTCATACTCATACCTCCATTTTCAAATGATTGTTGTAAAAAAAAACTGTAACAAAGTAAATAGACAATGCATTGAAAGAAATGTACTTCTATACTTTTATATTTTGATTATAAGCAAGGTTTTATTTACAGAGTACCATGCTAGACAATCTAAGGGAAGGTGCATCACTGTCAATACTTTTTTTATTTATACTTATTGCAGCTCAAATTGGCCAATAATCCAGCATGTCGGTCCAGCTGATGTGAGACCGAGCAAAGGGTTATGACCTCCAGCAGAGATTGACGGGCAGCACCACAGGGGTCATGGGATCAAGTACTTGCTGCTATTTAATGAATCACAGGACGACATTGAAGGCAAGATGACAGCTCTTTCTCTCTAGATCACAACCAAACTCCCATATAGGGCCACGGTGGCCACATCACCAAACAAAAAATATATAAGAGACTACACCAAGTCTGATATGACTAAACACAAATATCAAATAAATTAAATACACTTCCTTTTAAGAAAGAAAACAATATTTCTTTGAAAACAATTTATCCCAAAGCCAGATTTTTGCCATGGTCTAAGAGTCTGAAAAAAGAGAAACAAATATCCTTTCACTTTCAACTGTTTATTTTCTAATTCCAGCTATTTTTGGTGTGTCAAAATTTGTATGAACATAAGATTTAACAACTGAGAAATAAGCTAAAAAAATACATAAATTTGAAGAAAAGAAATGGAATGAGATACTGAACAAATGGGGTTTATATTAAAAGTAGCAGTCAGAGTGTGATGTTTGCACCAGTGCAACACTGCATCTCCTGCTCAAGTCATTTGCAAGTTCATAAACACGTCTGGGGGACACATGGTTACATGTAGTTTGGCACTGACAGGATGATCAGCTGTCCTTCTAATCTCCATGTTACACTGTCTTAGTCATCTTACATTACAGACATTGAAGTTTATTTCTCTGTTCACATCTGCAGTCCTCATGCCTCCTGCAGCAGGACTATGGCATGTTCACTTCTCTTAAGTGTCCTAAGTTATTGGAACTGTGAAATGTCTAGGGCCTGTTAGTGTCTCATGGACAGGTGCATTTACAATAATTGTTCATGGTTCATTGAACAAGCATGAAAAAACATCCTTTCCATTAATTTTACTATATGATTTTCTATATATATATATATATATATATATATATATATATATGAAGAGTTCAGATGCAAAAGCCTCTAAGTGCCATTTGAAATTTTCTTTTAGAATGATAATTTATCAAGCTTGTATATTTAAGTTCAGTGATTTCACTTAAATGGCAATGATGATTACCTATTAATTGTCATTTAAGTGAAATTACTGAACTACTACTGAACTACTTTTCAAGACTACTTTGACTATATTTTAATTGCTTTAAAATAATAGCAGCTCGAACAGCTTGAAAATAGTTTCCTCAACACTAATAATGACCTTCCAGTAACAACTTCCAGTCTTTCAGTACAGTACACACTGAACCGTAATAAGCCATTTAGGCGGGATCGAGAGCTAGCAAATGTTCAGGGATTCTTCTGGGGAGACAAAGCGTTGTATCCCCTTTCATTGTTGCTGGAAGTGTAAACTGAACCACATTCTGCCTAATGTGTCCCAGCTGCTGGGAGACGGCAGGGTCCGTGCTGTGCCGAGGCTGGTGGGATTTAAGCTGACAGTGGTTGTGCCTGTGTGTGCAAGAGTGAGTCACTGCAGCTATCGCTGTGGATTTTTTCCGTCAAAACCAACCTCCCCAAGTGAAGGCAATCCGAACATTTAAAAAAAAATCCATCCAACCACAATCCAACTCAAACAAATGTGTATTGTAAATGACTTCCTAGCTCCATGTGATGGTGGATGCTGTTATGATTTAAAAGTGAACACACTCTACACAGAGACGCATGAATCCAGACAAAACAAAAACCTATTTTTTTACACTCAGTAGGTGCCATAACAAAGGCAGTACCAACACTTGAAATCCTGAGGTAATGGTTTATTACAAAATAGATTATATATTTATTTATACACAAATAAAAATATATAAGATTTAAAGCATTTAAGCATAAATAAAAAAAAAAAAGTATTCACTACAGAAATGTATATATAAATAATAAATAATAGGTTTTTAATAATATCTTTTTTTTTTTACAGTCTTTTTGGCAATTTATTAAAAGTTTGATCCTCTTGCAGGTAAAATAAATAAGTCTTACCAGGTGTTGGGTAACTAAGGAATGCATGTAAAAATGATTGTCATAGTCAGACCAACAATTCTCTTTTCTCTTTTACAAGTGGTTACACTTGTTGGCGTTAAACCTTCAAAACAAAGATCTTTAGACAAAATGACGATTAATCTTGACGCATGCTGTCTTGTATGTTTGGGAATTGAGTGCAGTGTGTTGCTGGACAGTTTATGCCAGCGGGGTGCCTGTTCCGAATCCTCGGAGGTTAAATACAGAGGGACTGAGTCGCAACCCCGTTCCACCCGGCTAGGCCTGAAAACAGCCAGTCAGCCGAGTGCTAAACATAAGTGACAAATGCCGTCTGACTCAAATCACCTTCCATCAGACCCCATGACTGCCTCCCACTCAGAAAGAGAGAGAGAGAGAAAGAGAGAGAGAGAGAGAGAGAGAGAGAGATGTGTAAAGATAAAACTGGTTTCTCAAGAAACATCTAACTGTAAATCAAAACAATAACCAAATCTTCTCTCAAAGTTTCAAAATTTGTATAATCCAGAGAATTGAATCTCCAGATAATGATGTGATTGATCATGAATGACTAATGTAAACTAATGTATTAAAATATATATTTGGCGTTTGGCTTGCTGGGTGGAACTGTAACTGTTGCTACCAAATAACAGCACGATTAAAGACACCATGAATCATTAAAAAATGTTTTCCGCACTGTGTCAATGCATTCTCTATTGAACTAAAATATTGTGTGTAACTATTAATAAAATTTCTTATTTAGGTTGATTTTAATGCAAAGATATACTAATAATTGACATAATACAGATCCTATATACTGTATAGTTGAATTAAAAGTAGTTTTTAAACTTGAAAAGTGTATTAGCACAGTACAAATTAACATTAACTAGATTAATAAATGCTGTAAAAGTATAGTTTATTGCTATTTTTACGTTAGCTATAGCATTAACTAATGTTATAGTATTGAACCTTTGAGTGAATTTCACTAAAGTTTAGAATGAAATACACAAACATTTGGACCTCCAAGCTAGCTCACATACACAGACTAAGCCACAAAACTCCAGTATATTGATTTGATGGGATCTTAAACAGTACTGAGCGAGGTATGAATCTGATTTGTAGCTCAGACTTATAAAAATCAAAAGTAAAAGAGAGAAAAGTTTCAGAAATGGTAACACTATTTTAAAGTGTCTGTTATACAACCTTACTACAGTAATAACAGTAATTCATGCATAATTACAAGCAACTAACCCTGAACACATTACATGTTAATTCATTAATATTACTCAGCACTTGTTTGTATAATTACACTGTAACAAGGACAGCTTAATTTAAAGTGTGACCTCAGAAAAGATTTGTAGAAATGAACCAATCCTGTTTTGCGGAAAGAACAAAATCCCCTTCAACTTCCTCCAACCTAACAACACTATAATTTAAGATGAGCTAAAAGCCTGGTAAATCACAGTACAGTTATCAATGAGAAAACGGACGGCACTCTACAAACGTGTGTGAATTTGAGAACCATTTTACTCATGTGGATCAGGCTTTCAAAGAAAACTAGGACACTGCCAGCTTTGATGTCTTAATTGTGAGCCTCTCTTTAAATGACAAAAGAGATGTGCAGGCCTATTTATGGAACAAAAGATAGATTGAGAGTATTGGAAAGAGAGAGAGCGAGAGGGGACAGACGAGTTAAACTGAACGAATTGCAACAATGTTTAATTATAAAATAAATATGACTTCTGAATGCAAGCGCTTCTTGAAAATACAGCACTTTGAGGGACTCGGACTGTGGCCCTACCTGTGGGCTGACGCTGTGGCCGTAACCCATCCCTGGTGACCCCATGGAATGTGGCCCCATGGGCGAGCTGATGACAGAGAAGGGAGAGCCCAAGCCATTCATGGGCGAGCTCAGAGTGCTGATGGGGGAATGCAGGGAGCCCGAGTGGCCTAAAGAATTCGGGCTGAGCAGTGACGGATGCATCCCTCGGTGGGACGTGGGCGAGCTGAGAGGAGAGGACGTCACATGTCCTGAGGAGTCTGTGGGGAGAATAGTAGAAGGAAGCGGTTAGAACATTTACTCAACAAAAACAAAACAAGAAGAAGGTTGATTTCCTCTTTTTAAGGATTACGGCACGAGACAGGCTGATACAAGCTGAAAAGAGAGACAGACAGAGATAGAGACCTTGTTCACCCGCTAGCTAAACCTTACACTGGATGATTATTCTGAGAAAGTAAAAAAAGACAGGCAGTCACATGGGTGCACCGCACTTCTTTATCATCTAGCCCAGAGATAACCAATTGGTAGATTATGAATCATTTAGCATAAATTAATACAATCAGAAGCATTCTTTCTTCATAAAGAGAAACTTATCTTCTAAACACAGCATACAAAGCAGGTTTCATGTAAAAGCAGATGCTAGTTTTGATAATAATAATAATAATAATAACAGACTCTTGTGGCAAGGAAACTATAGATATTTTTGGTTGCTCACTTGTGGTTTTGTAAAGCAACTTTATATTCAGCAAAGATGATTCAGAGTAATTTACATTCTAAAAATCACTATACATAGTTCCCACATGACGTCACAACATACGGGCATTTGCCGACCCGGCGCCATTGCTGAGGGCAAAACATAAGAAGAAGCAATACGAGTTGAACGAAGTGAAATGAGTTTCGTGCTATAAAGTGAAAATGGTCATCTCCTGCTGAGTCAATGGATGATAAAATCGTGCCGGAGGTTCAGTTAAATCGGGATTTTACACTATACCCGTCATTAGAAGGATATGGATGTGAGAAGACTAAGCTTTTGTCCGAACAACGATGGAGATTATGGCTGGCGAGCATGAACAGGAAAGAAACTCACTCAAAACACGCACGAATTTTTTGACAAAAGCACAATGTTGTGTTTTATTGCGAGTGTAAATAAATATAAGTTAACACGTTGCAGTTTGAATAATGTCCTGTATGAACAAAATGACGAGGTATTAAAAACATACAAAACAACATTGTTTCCACTGTTTGATCTCACATTCCAGCATTGCAATCTCAGATTATGTCCCTAAAGATCCCGCGTATAATGTAGTTCCTCATTTATTACATTAATTAAATTGCACGCGAGTTATTTATTTTAATATTCATGCACCGAACCATGACGCCCGCAAGTACATGCATATTACAGAAATCACCGGTGACTGGGGAACATAGGAATTAAGTTGTGCAGGCTATGGCTTTTTAATAGACAGATTAGCATCATGCTACTTCGCTATGATGACTTAAGTTACTTTTCCATTGATTGCACTTGAGCAAACGTCACCAAACCAACCCCACGTCAATCTGATCGTACACCTCCAGTGATTTCCAGGCTTGGAATTGCTCACATGTGTAAAAACTCCTCACCAATACCAGATAATTGTACACATGAAAATACTGTATCTGAGGCAAAGTTGCATAATCGGTGCTCAGTGCTTCTTTTGTTGCATAAGGATACACACCATTTATGAATGAAATTTTCGCATTGTACCTCTCTATGTCTTGTTTTAATAGTCTCTTTATAATCTATTACACTTTGTCTTTTCATGATTTGCATAAAAATATAAACAGACATAAATATTTGTTTGTAAAACGACATTCTCTGATAAAACGTTGTAAACGCCTATGGTAAACACAGCGGTTTTGCCCTCAAAGATGGCGTCTCCGGGGAGGTCACGTGACAATTTTTTTGCCTGTGGGAACTATGTATATGGTAATTTTAGTTGCTCACTGGTGGTTTGTAAAACCATTATATTCAATGCAAAGATGATTTTGAAAATAACTATAAAAATACATTTGAATTGAACTTGACTGACCATATAGGATTTTATATGTATTTCTAGTTATCTTCTAAGGTTACTAAAGGCATATAAAGATTTTTGTCTTAGCAACAGAAAAAACAATTTGATGCCCCCAGCGGGGTGGTCACTAGGGTGGACTCCTGAAACGGTTTAGATTATTTTTTATATACTTTTGAATTTTCAGATCTTTTCTGAGAAGGAAATTCAAAGACTGGACTTCTTGGAACTTTAACAGAGTACCTCTAATGTAGCGCATGTTTTTATGGGCCTTGAGAACGCTTCAGAAAACAGAGAGAGAAAAAGAACGAGAGCGAGATACAAGGTCAAGGGCCCTAAGGATGCCAACTGATTAGGTAGCAGATTCATTTTCTGCTTCCGTACTCTTCCTCCCTTCTCGCACTATCCTCCGCTCTCTCGTTCTCCTTGAACTTGTCCGTCATGCTGTCAGCTGTCATGAAGAGATGATGGGGGGACATCTGTCAGTCTTGCCTGGGTGACAAGGCCATATTTCCTGTGTCCATGAATGCTTACTTTCCCTCTCTCTAACCTTGTCTTGTTCTCCTTGCACTTCGCTCACTTTCATTTACCTCACACTTTTACGCACCCTCTTTTCTTTCTAACCCCATCTCTCTTAATCTTCCCAAACCTGCAGGCTTTATGTCCATGAATCTTTCTGTTTTTCATTACAGTTATTTTCTCCCCTAAAGGGTTGGAGCAAGAATGATAAAAAAGTACAGTGGTACCTAAAATGCAATATGGTACAATAACCTCATCATTCAAAGTTTAACAAATGCATGTTAATATAAACATTTACATACACAATATATAGAGTGCCATGCATGAATTATGTTAACCTCAGTCAAGATTTTTCTCCTAGGCGTGAAAAACATGATTTGACTTTTTTTTTTTTTTTTTTACACATTTTCAAAGAGATTTTCAGATGTTCACTTGAGTGGAAAGCATGCGTTTATGGTTTAAACTGATACTGTATTAAACATAATACAATAATAACAGCAATATTGTGTATATTTAACAAACCAATCAATACAATTATATAATAAAATCAAGTGAAAACTATAATATATAAAATATAATTGAGAAAAATTGTAAAGGCAATTGAACCTCATACAATTTGAACTATTTGAACGTGCAAATTCAAGAAAATAATCTTTTAATAGCTGTCCACTGTAGTGACTATGCATGAAAGGGTTAAATCTATTAGACGCCCACCCAATGTAAGTTTTGTGCTACAGCTTCCCTAAACGAATAGTATTGGCAATAACCAAAATATTTTATTTTTATTTTTAGAATGGTTCATCCAGCAGTGTGTGTAAATTCTTTAGTCACAGTTGGAGAAGTCAAAGTCCAGACTTGAATCCTATTGAACAAATTTGGGATTTAGTGGATTCAAAGATAGATTGCACACAAGTTTTATCAAAAGAAGTCTTTGGGAACAAGTAGAATCTATTTGGAAGTCAAAGTAAAGTACTGTACATAAAAAACAATGCCAGCAAGAATGCAAGCTGTTATCAAGGCCAAAGGACGCCTACACAATATTTTTTTGGTTATTATGTGTGAATAAAGCCTATTTAGTCGTTTAATTTTTTTCAAGATTTTTTTTTTCAGATATTCTACAAATATTTGTGTTTTCTCTTTACGATGGCTGTATATATAGAGTAAAATATATGCATCAATACACAAAGGGCAGAGTATATCCATAACTGCGGAAATCTTTTTAGCAGAGTTTTGAGGGCACAATGTGGGCTTGTTCATTATCCACAAATTCTAGTATAACTTTTTCTAAGCAAAAAACAAAGAAAGACAATAAAAGCTTCTTTTTTTTTTTTTTTTTGTATTTCATGACTTAATACTGTTACGCAAGCGCCGAGACTCATAACAGGCTAGTTTCATAAGGGGGCTGCGCAGAATATGGATGATATATTACTCAATTAGGTGACAGTTGAGAAAAACAGCATGTCCAGTCTGTGTTTTCCAGGAGCTCTCTGTCTCCACTTGTCTGATGTCACTTCACAGCGTCTTGTGATGGATTCCAGGCCAAAAGGCACTCGAGAGGGGCGGACGGAGTATATAAGAGAGAGAGCTTGTCAGCGGGTTATGCTAGCGTCTGCCTGCCTGCCTGCCAGATCCGCCACGCCAAACACTTCCCCAACATCCTGCCCTCCTCCGGAGCACTTCCTGCAAACACCCTGAAATCAGCTGCAGCTTCTGTCAATGCATTCATACACACATTCACACCCGCTGATTGCCAAAAAACAGTGATTAATTAATTCTCTAATGTCACGGTGTCACATAAACAGGAAAACATGGTTTCCCGGCACATGGAAGTGAAACGTAATCATTATTCAGTCTAATGAGGGATTTATCTTGAGGTGATAAGACCCCCAGAGATGGTCTGTTTCAGAAACACTTTGATGCCAATCTGTTAGCAGACAGCTGCAACACACTGGGGACACAGCAGATCCAGGGTCAGTTTGGGAGTATAATCTCATATCCTAACCAACTCCTTCAGGAATCTTTAGGATATTGAAGTTTTTTTTTAATTGGTTACATTTTACACAAAGTTAACAAATACACTGAATATATAAATATATTTAAATGTATATATATATATATATATATATATATATATTTTTTATAAATCCACAAACAAAAAGAAATAAAACAGACAATCTATCTGATCTGTTACTACAAAAAGAAATATTCTGAACATTTAATTGGTTGAAATTTATTAATGTTTTAAAAACATTAATATATTTATTAAGAAAACAAATTAATGTTGTATGTGTGCATGGTCTATGTTTTATAATATACAGCATATGTCCATGGCCTGTACTATTCAGATGTGTGTGTGCTGCCAGTTGGTGGTGTGTTCTTCTCTCTGAAGGCTAGGGTTGCCAGATCAGGATTACAGACGGATAAAAGTAGCTCTTATTTAATCCGCCCTTGAGAGGGGCATAGCTAGTGGAAAACAGAATAGAGAGAGAAAAGGATCGAGAAAAGAGAAGAAGAGTATTTCACATTGACGTTGATGTGAGACTTGCTTCGTTTGAAAACTTTTTAGTTAAAAAGAAAATTGTTGCTCTAGACTAGGGATGTGAATAAACAATCTAAAATGGACTAGTCAGTGGGTTGCCCAAAGACTTGACTGGACATGTCATCATCAATCATTTAACAGCTAGAAGCAT